AAAAAAAGGTAATTCTCTGATGTCAAAAAGTCATAGAATGTAAGGCTTGGAAGGTATCATAAAAATAATATAGAATGCTCTTCATTCAGTGCAGGAATTCACTACTGTGTCAGGGAGTCATCCAGCCCCTCTTAAAATACTTCCAGCAAAGGAACAACCTTCAGTTATTGCACAACTCTTATCATTAGGGTTCTTGAGCCTGGTTACAGTCTCCTCATTGTCATTTAAATCCATTGCTTCCATCCTATCTTCTAGAACAGGGATGGCAAACCTTTTTGGCACTGAGTGCCCAAACTGGAACGTGTGTGCATGCGCCAGAGCCCCGAAAACTCAAAGACCAGCTAGCCATTCCACATGTGCGTGTCAGCCAGCTGGTCTTCTGGTTTTCAGCAGGCGCATGCACGCCAGGCAGCTAGTCTTCGCATGCACCAGAGCCCAACTCAAAGACCAGGTGGTCGGTGCGCATGTGTGTGCCGGAAACCCAAAGACCAAGGAGCGACAGTGAGTGTGCCCACAGAAAGGGCTCTGCCTGCCACCTCTGGCACGTGTGCCAAAGATTCGCCATCAAAGTTCTAGAACAACTTTGAGCACTTCTGTTCCATCTTCTAGACACAATGGCTTTTCCATTACTTGAAAACAACTATCGTATCTCCCCAGGGTTGTCTCTTCTCCAGACTAAACATACTCCAGACTCCAACTTTTATTGTTTTTCTTCTAAGGCTCTTATCACCTTGCCTGTTCTTCTTTGGAGATATTCCCGTTTGTCAACGTCATTTCTAAATGTGGTTTAAACCTGGATGCACTATGATACGGCCTGATCAATGCAGAGCAAAGAGGAACTATGAGTTCTCTTGATTTTGATGCTTCTGGTGATGCTGTTAGGTTTGCATTTGCTTTTTTATTGCAGCTGTGACACATTGGTTAACACTCAGTTTGATCCTTTTCACATATGCTATTGCCGAATATGGTTCCCCTTATTCCACACTCATGTCTTAGATATTTCCTACTCAGGTGTAAGATTTTTGCATTGAAATTCATCTTACTGGTTTCTGCCTGTTATTTCAACTTGTCAAGAGTCCTCCTGGATGTCGATAAACCTGTTGTGGATGTTGTTCTTGATAAACCGACGCTGGTTTCTACCAGGAAATGTTTTCTTTTCAACTGTTCAGAAACTGATTGCTTCGTAAACTATTTAAAAGTTTTGACCAGAATTGATGTTAAAGTAACCAGCTAGTTGTCACTTAGGTCCTCTTTCCCGGCTTTTTGAAAATAGGGGCAACCTTGCATGCCAAAACAACTAGATAAAGAGACAGATTTTCCCCTCGTGCCATCACTCTGCTGAATTCCCACAGCACTGTCTTATGTCTAGGGATATTTACACATGCAGTAGGGCTGTAATGCTATTATCATTTCCATCTTTCCTCCTATTGGTATATTATGATTATATTACTTTGTTGTTTGTATGTATACTGAGAGCTCACACACCAGAGATAAACTCCTTGCTTGTCCAATCATACTTGGACAATAAAGAACTCTTCTCCTCTCCTCTGCTCCCTCCCCTCCCCTCCCCTCCTCTCCTCTCTCCCCTCTCCTTAGCTTAGCCTAGCCTAGCCTAGCCTATTATACACCACCCTATTCTACAGTATTAAACCCTGCTCTGCCCTGCCCTGTCCTATTCATTTGTCCTTTTCCAATCCACTGGCACTATGCCTGTCCTTCATGATTCCTCACAGAAGAGACTCTTAAGATGATATCTGCAAACTCTTTCAAGTGTCTTGCATGTAAACGCTCTGATCTTGGAGATGTAAGTGATGTACTCTAATCAGCTGTTCCATTATTTCCTTCTACTGAAATTCTTGGATCTCGATACATATACACTTTTTTCATAGATAAAGTCATTCCTCCTCCTGTCTTGTCTAACCTATTCCTTTAAATACTGTATATTATACCCTTTCCATCCTAGCAGTTGGCTCGTGAGTTTTATGGCACCAGATTTCAATATTGATGGATAAATTATATTTGCCTTCCTGCATTAAGACTTCTATTTTTTTCTTCTCTCCCCCCGCACTGTATACCTGTGGTGGTGCACCTATGGCACG